AACTAATATGTTAGCAACAAAGCCAGAAAGTACATCATGCATAACTTAGATCTGCTTTTGCCAGTGTCTTTTATAGTCAGTTGGCTAATGTTAAAGTCTGAAGCTCATATTACKATTTCAACGAACAAAGAGAGGAACTTTAAAAAAAAAWAAAATTAAAAAAAAATTGTAAGACATGGATACCTGGATATTTTCTTTTAAAGGAAGTCACACACAAATATTCACTGACTTGCTCCTGAAGCATATAGTATTCTCCTGTTTCATCTGGTGGCCACTTGTATTCTATCAAATTTTCAGCAGGAAAGTAGCTAAATCTAAGCAAAATAGAACCCCCCACCAAAAAAAGTAATTATTATTTATGTAAACAAGCAACTGCTTTCAAAAACTGGCCAAGCCTTTTAAAATACAGCATCTGCTAACCTGTTTCATTCAGTTACACCCCACCTCTCACACATTCCCCAAACCAGCATTCATCAACATATTAAGCGATCACACAGAAGGACAGGGGTATCATGTTATGGGAGAACACAGGAAAACAGGAAAACATCAGGCACTCTGTCAAAGTTCACTCCAAAAATACGTAGCATTCTGAAAATAACTCAAGCTGTGCTTTTGATAAATTAAATTGTACCATATTTTGCACAATTCTAAAACAGAATCTCTTAAAATGGGCTGGGGGAAAAACGTTTTTCATAAGACACTGTCTCCATTCAGAAAAAGATATGAAGCGTATACAAGCAGAGAAACTAGAAGAGGCAACGCTTGGGCACATCTAACAATACAACACCACTAGCAATGAAGAAAAGAACAGTTCTGAAAAACGACATTACCCAAGGTCTTGAATAGAAGTTTCACAGCTCCGAGAGCTGTCCCCTGAGCCCATACGCCGTCGCTTGGATGGTTGGCTCCCATCATTGGAATTTTCTTCTGTATCATCCTGAAATGAAAAYAAAGATAAATATTAAAGGTATTGAATAGATAACAACAACAAAAGAAAAGTAAATATATAGTCAGGCACTCAAATTTAMATATACTGAAGTATTTAAAAAAACTCTTTTACCAACAACGCACAGGACAGTTTGCACAGCACAGCATTCTTTGTTGTGTGCTAGCCAAACTCCACACAGAAGCAAGGAAAAGGATGCGGGYGGCTTTCCACCCTGCCCCTCGTGACCACCTTCCCGCCTGACCACCTCGTGGCTCTGACTGCACGTCCATCGTTCCTGACGTCGTTCCCGGATGGAAACCGGCCCCGGYGCCAGCAGGGCCAGGCAGCTGTGGGCCCAGCGGACACCGGGCACAGTCACTGAGGACGCGCAGGGAAGGCCAGGTCCCACTCGATGTGTCTTGCTCTCAGAAACAACAGCGAGTACGAGGCAAAACGACCAAGACTAACAGCACTTTGGTAAAAYGCGGCAGGCCAGTGATTTCATTGACCTTCATGTGCTTTTTGCTTCTTTGTCTACTAACACCAGACAAGAAAAGCTCAAGTCTGACGTAACGCTCAGCCTCGATAAAACTCATAGCTTAATGAACTCCTTTGCACGATTACAAATGAGAAACAGAGGGCAGAAGTACAGAAGTGACTCACCCTGTTCTTATTTGCAGTAAAGCCACGAACAAAATAGCACTTTAAGGAATTGAAATTCTAAAGAAAGTGTGGCAGTATGAAAGAGTAACGTTCCATAAGTTTTCTGAAATTTAGAAGCATTAACCTATCAGAAATGGATCCACCCACAGCTACTGAATTATGACAATAAGTTACTAGGTCTGCCTCAACAAATGTCTTTCCTTCTGCTATGTTTTAATGGACACCCTTAACACTTCAAATATTATTGCTGATAGGAATTTAACAAATTAGAAGACATTACTCTGTTACATAACATTTCAGAGCAGAATCAAAATAGGCCGCAGAGAAAAGATACCCATCTGCCTCCTGTATTTTCGGTTGACTGTATTTCACAGATCTTTACATGAGAAGCGTGGCCCTCCTTGTGAGTAGGAGGAATAYCTTTCACACAGCAAGAGCAAAAATAAAAGCAGGTTTAAACAAGCTCTGCTTCCTTAATAAAGTTATACTTACAGAGCCATATAAATAGCATCTTTACAAGAATTAGCAACCAAACCAGCGTGTCTCAGGAGAGGGCTTTTGTGGCGCTGCTGTCACCGCCAGCTCAGCCCCGGGCCCCGGGTACTTTTGGAGCAGGGCACGGCGCAACGCGCCGGGTTAATGCCCGCCCGTTAACGCGGCGGCGACCCTGAGCGACAGCCGCCGGGGAGCACGGGGGGCGCCGCGCTGAGGGAAGCGGCGGCCGG